GTCTACAAGAGTATTTGGTTCATTTCTGTTTTGTTGTTTTTTGTTAACTGATGATGGGTTGAAGGTAACCCGAAACATGTCTGCCATTAAATCTTTTGTGTTATTTTTAAAATGCGTTGTATTTTTTTTGTGTTATTTTTAAAATGCGTTGTATTATTTCTACAAGAGTATTTGGTTCATTTCTGTTTTGTTGTTTTTTGTTAACTGATGATGGGTTGAAGGTAACCCGAAACATGTCTGCCATTAAATCTTTTGTGTTATTTTTAAAATGCGTTGTATTTTTTGTCAACTTACGTCCATTTGGTTCTATTATCAAGGATTTCAGTTCAAGAAGATTACCTTTCTTTATTAAGGAAATATGAAAAGATTACTCTTCGTTTGAACAAAGCCGAATTGGATTTTAATTTTTTACATAATATATATATATATATATATATATATTTATTCAATATATTTAATATTTTATATTGTTAAAAGGTAGGCCTCTGTAAGTAAGTACTTAAAAATACGCCAAGCCTCTAGTAGTAGGCTAGGCCTACTACTCCGGACTCCAGACGAGGCCTGAGCCATCCTTCTGGAAAGTTAAAGTTTTGTTGTATTTGTATGGTATGCCATCTAGTCTAAGCTTAATTGTTTTTGCCATTGCCAAAATTAGTCTAGGGTCTATTCTAAATATTTTAGGCCCGTTTTATTAGGGAGGACTATTTAAATTTAGTCATGCCTAACTAGTCGACACGAGTGACTCAGTTTCGTGGCTCCAAAAATATGAACATTTGATTGGTTGAAATTGTTTATTTCGGTCCGCCCATTTATCCAAATACGGAATATAAGATTACGTCATTCTTTTGGCATCCTGGTGCCTGATTTCAGTGTTTTACAAGTCGCTTCTTCCGGGTAGTTGCTAAATACAACGGGTTCAGCCGAGGGGCGTGGCTTCGTATGCTGACGTCATGCATAATTTCAGCTATAGTTCCTCTTTCAGTTATACTAGTTCATCCTCGACAAAGAGTAGGCCCTGTCTTTTCTCACACAGCATAGCAAAACACAGCTGTGTCCCTGTGTAATTTTCTTTCCAAAATTAGGATCCATGGAACATTATCAACTTATGGGGTCTACACAGAGTGAAATAATACATAGGCCTAGTTAGCCTTGTATTTTAGCGGTAGGGATTAGGCCGTAATCACAGAAAGAAATGAAAACACTTTAATGGCCTATACTACTAGTACTTAGTCACGTCTGTGGATTTTCCAACCTAATCCCATGAACAAATTATCTTACTGGAAGAGAAAATGGGCCTAACACATTGAAATTACAACTTTTATTACAACAACAACTGCTGAAGTTAAGATTTATTACTTTTTAATGTTTCACTTTTTAATATTACACAAAAAGAGAAGTGGAACAGAATGTTAAATATTTAATTAAATTAAATAGGCCTATATTAATTTTCCAATATCTGCATTGCAATTTGTATTGCATAAAGTAATGTATTAAATAACAATTAGGCCTATTCTTTGGATAGTAGCCTAGGGCCACATTCTGCATATAGGCCTAATGGCCTAGACAGTGGCTCCTCTAGGATACATTTTCTGGGGGGGGGGGGGGGCAAGAGACAGGCGCTAAGCTGTTCAACAGGGGCTTGAGCTTTGCCTGAGGAGAGGGAGGGTTTGGGTTTTTCTAAAAATAGGGAGCTCTGGATGGCCGGAAATGGCACTTAGCAGTGTGAAATACATAGTTTGGCTTGGTGTAGGCCTATATTCACTTTTTTTTGGTCCCAGCGAATGCCCGACGAGCTCGGCCGGGGGACCTTGATTTGTACGACGGGGGTTGGGGCTTAAGCCCCATTGTCCTCGGCCCCGCCACTGCTAGACAGACTGCTGCAGGTTGTTGGAAGCATTCTAGGACTATGTCCTAGGCCTCGCTCGGACTACTGAAGAGGCCTCCCGGTCCGACCTAGCGCAGGCTTACAGGTGCCTAGACCGACACGATCGTCCATACTTTGGGCCCAATCATCTGAAAATGGACTCGTTGTCTCGTGGGGCCCCCGATCGTCCGTAACCCGGCTGTATCAGCAGCACAAACCTGTGCACAAACTAAGTAAGGAGCAGCCCACCGGCCTCGCTAACGTCACATTGGTCACACGGTATGTGCGATGTTTTTAGGTAGACGGTATAATATATACATGAGTGACACCATACAAGCCACGCCCCTCGACTGAACCCGTTGTATTTAGCAACTACCACCGAGGACCGCCGTGCATAGCAGAACACGTGAATTATGATCTTTTTAAACGGGTTTATAGCAGAACACGTGAATTATGATCTTTTTTTAAACGTTTGTCGTGGAAAACAGAAACAGGGTAGGCCTACAAGGCCGATTTTTCTATCAAACTAAACAGAAACACTTACTTTTTCGACTTCGGTATGTATGTAGAAAATCGCTGTATGGGATGCTAATGCTACTAATCAGAAATTTGTAAACAAACAGCTGTCAAAATTGTATCGATTCGATGGCTGTCACACAGCCTTGGCAAAAACGTCGGAACGCGCAACTCGTACAAAAAATAATCAGAAAATTCAATGATGTAAGGATTCTTAGCTATCTATAAAAGGAACTGATTTTACCATATTTGGGTACCTTCCGCTTTTCCAATGTTTATTCAACAGCTATAAAATAGCATACACATTATGCTAATTAAAACGCGCGAAAGTTAAATTCCTTTCTGCATTGTGAGGGCGTCTAGAATCAATGACGTCACGCCGTGTTGAAAATTTTGCAATAACCGTCAAAATCTCCAACGCGGCTCTCCGACTGGAATGCCATGGCAAAAATCAAATGATGAGGTCAATTTTAGTGGGTTTATAATTAATAGAATGTAATCTTTTAGGCTTAATTGGTCTCCTAACCATCTTTTGATTTGGTATAATTTTAATAAATACTGACCAGATAGAAGCTTTGTTCAGTCTCGAGAGATACGCCCAGAGATCTCTATGTCTGGATTGCTCCAAAGGGATGCAGGGAGTCGAGAATAAAGATGCAGTAATACTGTGTGATGAACAAGTTATTATACTGAGACACACCTCATGACAATAGGCCCCAGAGTACTTATAATTAAAGATAGGTGGGCTAAGCAAAATACCAAATTTGTGTATGGAGTGTGATCTGTTGCCAGTGATGGGATATACAGGTTTTACCTGAATATAGTTATAAAATTGAAAACACAAAGTGCAAACTTAGGCTATTTTGAAATCAAAATCAATGTTATATTAAAAGACAATACTTCGTAAACAAAAATTACATGAGAAGACAGCGATGTAAACTAGTTATTAGTTGCAGACAAATACTTGAGCTTTGGCATTTACAGACTCCAGACTAACCAACAGACAGATATTACAAGCCCACCTGTCCTTGTCAGATTAGAGTCCTATCCAATAATGTACATTATATCAACAACTTAAATATACAAAGAACAATCAATGTAGCTTGACAATGGAAATACAAATCTCATTTAAAATGCAATTAGGATAATATTGGTATAAGATGCAGAATGTGTTTTATGTGTAATGATTTTGAACACATAATCCGTATTCAATACCTCATAATGCTACTGGCCTAGTGTCCTGCACTACTCGCCTCTATAACAACTTGTAAAATCATTAACTTCTTTCTGAAAATAAACATTACTATCAAATGTAATGCTCAGTACTACAAGCACACATACAGTATTCTATGCTAAATATGCCCTGTACAACTGACATTTATTTTCCAGCCATCAAGATACCAATATAGACGAGTGAAGCTGTAAATTAGATACTAATCATTACCTTTCTACCTAGATTCATTCGAACACCAGGTTTTTTTTACAACTAAAATAATTTCACTGAGCTATACAGAATATTTTATTGAATCACTGTTAAATGAGAATAAAATCAAATAACAGAAAATAAAATTAACACAATGTCATTGTATGTAATATTTCTGAAAATTCAGTAGAGCTTACTATCCTATTATTCAAATTAGACCAAAGCATTACAGTATAGACTCAATATAAATTTAGTTTTTAATGGACTATTGCATAGATAATACACATACATTCAATGCTTAGTGGCAACATTCAGTTTGAACAGTACATTAAATTGTATGCAAGCATTACAATTAAATACCTAATATCCATCCTACGATTAAAATCTGATGACCAACACCTAAAGATCAATATATTGCCTTGGTTACAACTGAATTGGTACTATGCATGGTGGTGGTGGCAGAATTTGACCACTGGAGGGGTGAATCAAATGGTTGGTCTGGTGCCAGGGTGTCCCCAAGAAATTTGAATGATCTGGAAATGAAAGCTTAGACGGTTTAATGTAATGATAATTATAAAAATGTTAAAGTAATGACAAGAAGACTTAACTATATCAGTGTGGCACCTGCGGGGGGAGGGGGACAGGGAGAGCATTTTCCTCCGATCGGACAGCTGACGTCTGACACCAGGACAAGGTCGTCAGATCAAAAATTTAAAAAATATCATTTGCCTATCTAAGTAATGTTATTTTAATGGCCAATATTGTGGTCTTCTGGACAGTACTAAGCCATAGAAACTGTCCTGGTGAACCCTACCAGGGATTTTTTTTATTCCGGGACACTGACTGAGACTCTAGTTGCCCCTGTATCAGACCCCCCACCCTCCGTTGGACATATCGGACCCCTTGTCAGCAAATTTCTGGAGCTGCGGCTGAACTAAATGTAATAGTTATTAAAATCCAAATGTAATTTTAAGTTGATCTATTAAAATATTATTCCAATATTATTGCGCAAGTCAGTCTAGGGTACTCTCAAGTGTATTTCACAATATTACAACCTGTAACCTGTTCCCCTAAATTTCTATAGATTGAATATAAACATAATGTACAGGAGAACTACAGGCCGAGTTTGCAAAAAAAAAAAAAAAAATTAGACTGAACAGTATAAAAATTAAAATATACATCACTGAATTTGATTTACCAATTTTGCATATTAAGAGGGTGGGTCATAATAACTGAAAACCTTGGTGGGAGGGTAAGTGAAACTGTCATGGATAAGGTGCAGCGCTATCAAGCTTTTATATTTCTGTTCTTCTTATCCCATTTTTAAATCCTCAATTTTGCATATTTTAAGACCAACAGCAAGTACCCAGTTGACCACCAACACTGCCAATACACTGACCAAAGCAACTAAATGCATACTTTCCAACTCTTTCACCATTACAAATAACACTGCCAAGATCACCGGGGTCCAAAGTTAGAAATCGTTTCCGGCAGATCTATTTTTAAACGAGCTTTCACTAACACATTTAATTTGTTTTGCTACTTATTCCAATCGACACTGACTTCCATGAGACAAATGATAATAAAGGGGTAATACAGTAGTAAAAGCACATAGATTTAATTAATTTGCGGGAGATGAGATGAGTTATATTCTGGGAGATCGAGACTCCTGAGTTCCCTTCCTAAAAAAATCACACAGAAAATGTCCCAATCCACTAAAAAATCAAATTTAACTTACCAAATAGTACATCATTTACACATTAATCTAATGTTATCAATTATGTGGTCTAATGTAAACTGGTAATACCATAATGACAAGTAATTTTACCTGTTGTTTACAGACTAACAACCATTACAATGCCTGACAAAAATTGACATTTGATTGACTATAGTCACTGAAAAACAGAAGCTTTGGTGGAAACAAATATTGGCTAATAACATGGCAACTTATAATTCAAAAATTTGTATCGCTGTACATTTTACATTTTGTTTATACAAGAAATCATTAAAACTCTTATTAAAAGAAAAAACACAAATCATAATCAGTAGTTACAAGCATAGATATTTTATTTACCATGTTTGTCTCCAATATCAATGCTGTGGTTGAAACAATGTATTCACATAAATGCCATTATGTAATTTTCAATAAAATAATGTATGAATATAACCGTAAAGGAGTGACACCCTTTATAAATTAGGCCAACACAAGGCTAATAGTAAATCTGTTGAACAAATATTCATTATTTTATGAACACACTATGAATGCACACACTGTATCATGTATGCATACCAGTGCACCATGTGTGCATACCAGTGCACCACGTATGCATACCAGTGCACCATGTATGCATACCAGTGCACCACGTATGCATACCAGTGCAGCATGTATGCATACCCAGTCCACCACGTAAGCATACCAGTGTACCACGTATGCATACCAGTGCACCACGTACGCATACCAGTGCACCACGTACGCATACCAGTGCACCATGTATGCATACCCAGTGCACCATGTATGCATACCAGTGCACCATGTATGCATACCAGTGCACCACGTATGCATACCAGTGTACCACATATGCATACCCAGTGAAGGAGTATGTGGTCCACTGGTATGCATACATGGTGATGTATGCATACCAGTGGACCACATATATGCATACCAGTGCACCATGTATGCATACCAGTGTACCACGTATACATGCATACCCAGTGCACCACGTATGCACACACCAGTGTACCACGTATGCATACCCAGTGCACCACGTATTCATACCAGTTGCCCATGTATGCCTAATGGGCCTCGCTTGAATCCATCACTGCCTACAATGAAACATATGACTACACTTCATTGTGTACATGACTACACAATGCCATATGTATGAGTACGCTGCATTACACATCATGTATGGCTAAAATGCACCATGCACAAGTATGTCTACATTGGATTATTGCATCATGTATGCCTACATTGCATCAATACATCATGTATAACTAAGAGTGTATGACTACACTGTACCAATGCATCATGCAAACTTTTACTACATCAATGTATCATGCAAGCCTTCCCTGCACCAATCAAGCCTATACTTCATCAATGCATCAAGCAATCCTATACTTTATCAGTGCAATATGTGTTCTAAGGCTGCATCAATTCACCATGTACAGTACATCATGTATGACTACACTATATAAACAAATTCTTTGACTGCAATAATGTATAACATACCATGCATCATACTACAATGCATCATGCATTCCTAGATGGCTTAAGTGCATCCTGTATGACTATTACATTATGCACTATGTACAGTATGACTCCACCGACCCAATCCAAATTTATCTGTAGTACACTAATGAATTACTCAGAATAAATCATTTTGTTTCACAACTGGGATAAGTGAAATAAGATATAACACTAAATGTTTAAGCAACTGCTTTCAGGATTGCAATATGTAAAGCATCTACAAAAATATAGATTTCCTTCATACTTTCATATTTATTGTACCAATAAAATTATAATAACAAGCTCTCATGTTCTTTATATACTGTATTAAGCATTATATTATTTGCTGGTAAAACTGTCTATATGCCATGATCTGTACAAAATTTGTAATTTGTGTCCACTTCATGGACATGGACTACGTACAGTATTCATTCCTCAATTCTTGTTCTACAAATCAGCAAAAATTATAATCAAAGAATGTAGTCTATATTCAGTAACGTCTTATTATGTGTATTCTCAAGTATTCTTTATCTATTACATCATCATGAATTAAGAATTATTCAATATTTATTTATAAACAATTTTACAAACACCGAAATAATTTCATATATTTTTTTTCCAAATAACCATGTTTGAAATGTCATTAGGTATAATGCTAGCAAAGTTTTGGTCAAAGATAACCACAATTATAAAATTAGCTACAATGCAAGAAATGAGGCATTTGCTGATTACAGACAGGTGAATCTTTAGCTTGATTTCATCCAAGCAACCATAATCTAATACCATCAAGCAATAAATCCAAAGGTCCCAAGGCCCCAATTCAAGATTAAAGCATCATAATACTTCCAGCACACAAAGGCAAAGGTATTGCCTTACTGGATACAGGTACGTTAAAAACAAAAATAATGATGCATTCTGATGGAAAAACATATCAGATATAGAAGACAGAAAAAAAAGAACTTACTAAATAAAGAAATACACGATCAGCGAATTATAAAAAAGGATACCTTTCCGATTATTATGTCAAATTTACAATTTGAATTGAACCATAAGAACACTAATTCTATGTGAAGAACTTTTCAGGGGGCATCATTGGGGACTCGCTTTTAAAATCACTAAGAAGCTAGAGGCTTTGATTTTTGTGAAATTGTGAACAATATACATGGTGTAAAAATTAGTTCTCTCAAAAGCTCTGATGAGGGCAGTATAATAGAGGCAGTAGAGTATATTGGCCCTAACGGCTGCCATACAAAAAAGATCTATTAACCGATGAGGCAAGTGTTTCTAGAGCTCCACATCGGAGCTAAAAAAGGCAATAAAGTTACCTGCAGCAAACATCAGATTGATTTAGTAAAAATAATGTGTTGACGACATTTTGGCCACCATTCCCAAACTAAAAAAACCAAGTTAACCTTTACTTGAAAGGTACTTTGTAAAACATAAAATTTACCCTGGTTAGGTATTCCAATCGTGCTTGCAATTTAATGCCGATGCAGACAAATATTTAATGCCACATCTTTCAACCAGATAAATTTCTTGTCCAATGAAAAGGCAAAATTCACAGTGAAGGTTCAAACCGCCAACCTCAAGGTTGAGAGACCGATACAACGGCAGTGCCAAACACTCCCAAGAGATGAATGAAATGATATGATGCAAAATAGTAATGTCCTCTATTTATAACTTAAAGACACTGAAACAAGCACACAAAACCTACTCTCTAAAGATGTGATTACCGCCCACTAATGCTTAACAACAATCACATCCAAGGCTAGGAACAAACCAAATTATTAGGAAATGAAATTGATGTGACCAGTCAAGAAACAATAGCATGGGTTTGGTAAACATGATATGAGATTTTGTAGAACATCAGCTTTGCCACCTGTAGACTAGCAACAACAAAAAAAAAAACAGCAAGATTGAAGGGTCCTCTATCAGAAAAAGTTCACTAAAGCCTGTCACATTTAAAAAAAAAAAACAAAGTTTTTGCAATGCAGTTCACTTGAGAACAGTGGTTTTCAGACACCAAATCTGACCTTTTATACAACCTCAAAAATATAAAAAAAAGTCAACAAAATATACCAAACTTAATGATAACATAAATTTCATATTTTTTTGTTTTTATCCATAATACTGTATGTATCTACAAGCAATAATAGACAGAATGATTGTATGTATATACCTGTGTGACAATATTGCATATACCTTCAGAAACAATGAAACATCATTGAAATCATCAACTGGAAAATACTAATTTACTGTATTAAACTTGTGTATCACTAGAGGAGGAAGCCATACTGAATTCTTGCTACTCCACAACTTGTTTCCCCTCCGAGTTAAGAATTGGTGGTGTTACACATGTACCAGAACTTCTTACTTTTTAGGTAATTGCGGTTGTTTCTTTAGCTGTAAATAAAGATACTAATATGTATAAGAGTGACACACAAAATAATAAATGACATATGGCAATCCGTATATAATTGTATATCATCAGTCATGACTGGTAGTCATCAGTGTAAATTGGTTGGGGTTTATTCTCAGTATAGTTTAGTGTATCATCAATCATGATTTGTGGTCATCAGTGTAAATTCGTTGGTGTTCATTATCAGTATAGATAAGTTTATATCATCAATCATAATTTTTGGTCATCAGTGTAAATTTGTTGGTATTTAGCATCAGTATTGATTAGTGTATATCATCACTCGTGATTGGTGGTCATCAGTCTAAATTTGTTGGTGTTTATTATCAGTATTGTTTTGTGTATATCATTATCACTCAAGATTGGTGGTCATCAGTGTAAATGTGTTGGTGTTTATTATCAGTATTGATAAGTGTATACCATCAATCATAATTTGTGGTCATCAGTGTAAATTTGTTGGTACTTAGTATCAGTATTGATTAGTGTATATCATCACTCAAGATTGGTGGTCATCAGTCTAAATTTGTTTATTATCAGTATTGTGTAGTGTATATCATTATCACTCAAGATTGGTGGTCATCAGTGTAAATGTGTTGGTATTTATTATCAGTATTGGTTTGTGTATATCATCAGTGTAAATTTGTTAGTATGTTTTATTGTGTTGGCTGGTATTCATCAAGAGTGTTTGTTGGTACTTTATCAGTCATTCTTGGACTCACCTGGGACTTTGATACAGGATTGATATTTTCATACAATTTTGGTTCCTCATACTGCGCTGTGCCACCTTTATTAAGAGCCATCAGATCTTCGTGAGCTTTTTTTGTGTTAATGTATTCACGACCAACTTTTTGATTTTGCTGAATCAGAATAAAAGGAATCAATTAGAAAAGTTTGGGAAAATGTCCATTTTCTTATTTGAGAATACTCAGTATAAGTCAATTTCTACTCCAATCAGAAACTTGTTATTGTTATGACAAACCAATTAATGTCAATCAAAGTAACCAGCAAAGTGTTGGTTATAATGAATGTTCTTACTACTTCAGCTTGCACCCTCTGGGACAGGGTTTCAATATGGTGTTGAACTGCATGGTAAATGAATTTGTACTGGGCTTCAGTCTGAACCATTCCAGATCTCTGACTTCTTAGCATTTGGATAGTCCGGTGAATATCAATTTCACAGTCCAATCCTGCAAAGTAATTCCGCATAAAACAAATTATTGAATTGTTATTGAATTCAATACAGTTCGAAAGTGAAAAGATTTTGTAGGGTAGTTTGAAAAATTGTTGATTTGATATACAGACTCAAGACCCTCCAAGCTGGTGTACACCCTTGGTTTTTTTCATTAGGAACAAGCATTCTTTCAGTATTGCATATGATCAACCAAAAAAAAAACATCAATCTCTTGGATTTTGTTCAAATTTTCTATGTGGTTGGTATCCAAGAGAAACAATTAAAAGTGAAAAACATTTTTTTTCTCTAGGCTTTTTTATTAGTGAGATAATAGCTAACAAAATTTGGGATAATTAGTGATAACGTGCACATTTAACTGACCATATCTCGGTAAGTATATATCTGCTTAATAGGTAAGCACCTATTAAGCAGATTTTTGTGTCTTTTTAAGTTACTGAGTAGCTCTATAACTTTAAAAATTCAAACTCCTCAATTCAACCATTAAATACAAATTATAAAGTTCAAGGTTAGAGAAAAAATATATATATATATATATCTTCCCAATACACTTGGTGGTGGGCACTCTAAAACCACCTAAGCAATTATATATGACATGTCCACTTAAAATTGCAATTTTTGTACATATTAACACAGTTAATACCATATTAGGAACAGAAACCAAACCCTTTTTTTATTTAGGTTTTCAGGTCAATTTAGGTTTTGAAGTTGAGTTATGATGTAAAATAAAAAGCTTCCCAATAAAGTTGGTGATAGGCACCCTAAATTTCCTGAGCATAATTAAAAAAGAAATTGTATCAATTAAATCAAAATGGTAAAGCAAAACTATAACAATCACAAGATTTTTAAGAAACATGTTAATTTTAATACAATGATCAGTGTATACCACAAAACATGATCAGATGCACTATTGATGAAAATTAACCCTATACTCATTTTGACTGATGAAGATACAGGGTTTATTGGAGTTCACATATGCTTCACTGGGCCTACAGTGGTAATCCTTAATTTAGAAGACTTCACTACCAGAACCATGACAAGTGTGCCGCTTGTTTTGTTTACTGTAGTACAGTGTTTATAAATTCAAAAAGTGCAATTTCGAATAGAAATGCATATATAATTGCTTAATGGTCAACTTATAGGAAAGCATTCACATCCTAATGTACCTCTAAAATTATTTTCAAGAAAAAAAATATTTTTAAAAATTTAACTTTAAACTTTTTTTTATCTATAGCAACTTTTTTATGGTTGATCTGAGGCATTAGAATGTATTTATAAAGTTATAGAGCTACTTAAAATGACACCAAAAAAGGCTCAATAGGTGCTATACTTACCGAGATATGGTCGGTTAAACATGCAAGGTATTGCTAATTAGCTAAAACTTAGTTAGCTTGTATCTCACTAATTAAGAGGCCTGGAGCAAAAAAAAAAATTGGTTGGATTGGATTGATTTATTCGGTGTAAACACCAAGGATAGCCCACAAAGGTCTAGAAGAAGACTTAATTCCAGTAGGGTCCTTCTGGTGTGAGTGGGCAGTACACCGGGAGATAATCCTCTACTCTTTTCCGAAGAGTGTACTGCATTCTTTAATGGGTATCGATGGACACAGGACTAACGGCTTAAATGTCTCATCCGAAAGACGGTGCGCTATTGTAACTTGTATTTCAGACCTAATCGGGGACCTAGAGATCTCCACGGTTCAGCACAACAACAGGAGCTACCACCAGATTAGCCGACTGAGCTAAGCTGGTTTCTGATCATTTCTCATGGGTCTCAACCACATACAAAAATTTGAACAAAATCTGAAAGAATAATGTTTTTGGGTTGATTTGACATGGACTTACCCATATAACACTGAACACTGACAAAGTTTTGAATATAGCTCCTTATTATTAATATTGAAAACTGATGTATGTAAAATTCAAATTAAATTACTAGTATGTAAAATAACTCATTCCTGAAAGTGATTATTATATTAAATTATAGTATTGTGATTGCCAAACACTTAAAATAAGGAACAAATAAGCTTTGTAATATATTTAAACTATAGACTAAGTGAAATGTTGAACATATTGCAATTATAAATATTAATGTCATACTCTGTTTGTTGATTGAGTTAAATACTATATCATTCAATCAACAATGCATAGAGGTTTCGAGCAGAAATTTAATAAGTATTATTATGAATGGCATACCATGTTGTTTGATGAGGTTTAATACAATATCAATCAGAATGAATGTTCCTGTCCTTCCAATACCAGCACTAAAATAAACAAGATAAAGTCGTCTGTTACAAAAATTTGATATAATTTTTTATATTGGTATTTAATTGGCAATACTACATAGGAATGAATACTACATAATTGAAATACTTTTCTGACTGAAATTATATTAATGGGTCACCTGCAATGCACTACAATAGGCCCTGCATCTGGAAATGACTCCTGTTTATTGTTGTAATCATGAAGGAAGTTCAGCACTCTACTAGGTTCTTGAGGGACACCATGATCAGGCCAACTTTTAAAATGAAAATGAAAGATTTCTCGAACTTCATCTGGCTGTAATCAACAACAATAAAAAAATGTTTTTCAGTTTTAAATTTATAATAATATGAATGACAAATGGCATAGTAGGAAATACATTCTTTTGTTACATTTTGAGCTTAGGGCCTGCAAGGCCTGAAGGTAATCTTTGATTGCATTAAATTTAACCTATGTACAATAATTTTCCGCTAGTGTACGATGCATGATCTACTAATTGATTTATAAGTCAATCACTCTGTTTTAATAATGTTAGTTTTGATAACTGTTGTAGCAGTCATCGGTTGCTATAGTGATATGATCAGTATACTGTGTGCGTATTTACATTTAGCTAGCTGTGCGTGTATGCTGATTTGTGCTCCTGTATGTAGTAGGGTTTAACTACACGTACACCAGCAGACTGTCAGTACGGATACGATGAATACCTATTGTAATTTCCAATCCAATCCAAGGACATTCGTCAAAGAAATAAACATTCCTAAAGAATTCGAGAGAGAATACAGTAACTGACTTTTTGGTCGGTGCAGACAGGTAAAAATCATGTGATGATTTCATAACAACGCTAGGCTACGGCCTAGGCCTCCTGCCTAGGCCTCCTGTCTGTCCGTAGGCCTACACCTATTTCGTTCCTTAAAATATTATATTATATTTCTTTAAAATAGGTCTAGAATATTCCTATTAAATGTTCAGTTTGTTTAGTTTAAGGATCATTGATTCAAGGAATTCCTTAATTATTCACACTTAATATTGAATTTGAAGTTCTAATTAACCTTGTTTTATGAAAGTAATTTTTAATTACAATTTAATTTTCATCATGCTACGCGATATCTTCGCGGTGACGAAAAAAATGAGGAAAATTTTTTTTGCACACAAACCTAAAAAAATTAAGCCAAGCGTCAACTATTCAAAAATTATTGGACTGTGGGGGATAGGCAAATAACATTGGGAGTTGCAGTGATGACATCATGATCGACTTATAATAGGTGCTTAGTAGATTTTCTCATTTCAAAGGATTTTGCCAAAGATTTATGTATACTTCGACTATATAGTTTATAGTTACAGTAGGTGATAAATAGGTACTGTCTCTTATGAGTAAACACTTAGTACTGTAACTATGATAGTGCTACTACTAGAAATTGCAAATTGCAAGTGAAGTGCTGCGAAGTACAACTGCATATAAATGTTCTTCGAACAAAATTATTTATGCGAGTCAAGTGAAAATAATGAATAAAAAAATATAACAAATAATTTGAAACACGATCCATTGTCTATATTAGAACAGCGTTGGTACCGTGTACAATAGTGTTTTGCTGCAGTGACATCTCGCTGCTGGCGACTCACTGCTGCTGGCGATGACTCGCTGCTGGCGAATCGATCTGCGCATGTGTATAAAATGGTATTTATTTCCATAAACACTGTGTATGCCAGTCTACAACAAGCGTCGCCTAAATGTAATAATTAGCACGTTGAAATAGGCTAGTAAATAGGTTTAACTGGGTTCGTAAATAATATTGGCCTCAAAATATTGTGGCTCAGACATGGGCCGATTAAACGTAGAAATAGGAAACCTAGAAATATAGTAAAAACGCTGAATAGTACTACAGCGTCACGACATGCAGGCGTTGGTACAAGTAGGTTAGTCTACAAACGTCGCCTAAAGTAATTGAT